TAGATGTCCTTCCCAGCCTCAGCTCTGTGGCTGCTGCAGTGTGGGAGAGAGGGCACTTCCATCGCATTAGAAAGGTAAGATTACTGATATTAAAATGAGTTGTGTGCTTTTATTTCTAGAACAAAAAAAATTAATTATTAATGGTTTTTGTTATATAGTGCTTTTATCCAAACCACTTTACAATAGTTAGCTAACAGTACCAACAACATTTGGAAAGATCATTAAGTGGTCCGCTGAGATCCTCAGCAATTTTCAAATGGTACACGAAAAAAAAGTTTGAGAACCACTGGTCCATTGCACAGCTTTGGCATGAGAATTCAAAATATATTTGAGGCAATCATACAGGTTCCCAATGAGATGACTGCCAGGGCCCTGTAGCCATCTTCCCTCTTACTTCAGTTCAGACAGGTTAGTTGTAAATTAAGGTGACTTGTGAGAATGAAGCTGGGGAAGAGGACACCTTGAGCCACTGCTCTGATGCCTGAGGACAAACTTATTACATTTGACTGATTGGGATGTTCATGTGTTTGGCTGCTCCTTGTACAGCTTCTGCCTAGGAGCTGGTGTCTCCTGCTTTGGAGAGCTCCAAAACTGCTCTATGCTGCATCTGTATATTTAGGGCTGCTAAATTATAGAATCTCTATAATTAGAATCTTCCAGAACTTCAACGCTACAGGTCTTGGTGCCTTTCACCAGAGGTCCAGCCTTGAGAGCATAGGTCATGACCAATGACTCAGAGCTATGGCTAAAGCGAGTCTTGGCAGTATTCTAGCCATCTCTTGGCCATAAGGACATGGGAACAGTGCCTGGACAACATGAGCCTGGAAGCAGCAGCCAGCGACCAGACCAGCCCCCAAGCAAAGAGCTGCTCTATAAAGGAGCTAATTCACAATCAGTTAAATTGATAGGCAGCAAGTTTAAAACAAACATAAATACTTCCTCACACTGTGCGCAGTCAACCTGTGAAACTCGTTGCCAGGAGATGTTGTGAAGGCCAAACTATAACTGGGTTCAAAAAGGAATTATATAAGTTCATGGAGGACAGGTCTATCAATGGCTATTAGTCAAGATGGTCAAGGATGCAGCCCCATGCTCTGGATGTCTCTACACCCCTGACTGACAAAAGCTGGGACTGGATGACTGGGAATGGCTTACTCGTAGGGCTACCATACGTCCAGATTTTCCCGGACATGTCCGGCTTTTTGGTCCTCAAATCCCCCTCTGGGAGGAATTTCCAAAAAGCCGAACATGTCTGGGAAAATAGGGAGGCACGGTGAGGGGACCCCAAGTGCGAGTGGCTGCAACAAAACTTACAACTCCCGCGATTTGCCGGGGCACAGAGGTGGCGGGTGGCATCCGAGCACGCAGCTGCCTCCTCTCCGGGCTCCATCTTTCCCGTCTCCCGCCGTCTCCACCGCGCGCCGGGGCCAAAGCAACTTCCCCAGCGCAGCAGCAGCAGCCGGAGCTCGGGGGGCGGGAGGGAGGAGGTGGAATGCAGGGTGCTCAGGGGAGGGGGCGGAGACTTTGGGGAAGGGGTTGGAATGGGTGCAGGGAAGGGGTGGAGTTGGGGCAGGGCCGGGGCCCCCGTGGAGTGTCCTCTTTTTTCAGTGTTGAAATATGGTAACCCTACTTACTCGATAAATTGCCCTGTTCTGTTCACTCCTTCTGAAGGATAGGACACTGGCCACTGTCAGAAAACAGGATACTGGGCTAGACAGAGCCTGTATGGGTCTGACCCAGTATGGCCATCTTTATGTTCTTAATCACATTAAGCAAAACCCAGATTAGGACATGAAGACATTTACATACATTTGCCAATTTCTGGACCTTCAGTCTTAACAGGTATATTTGAGGATGCACGTCCTACCAAAGCAATGATAGAGCAGTCCGTTGGAACAGCATTCTCCCTCAGAGCAATTTCGAAAAACCAGGTCAAAACAGGCCAGCAGGAGAGGTGTGCACCAATGCTGAAGCTCCATGGGTAATGATCAGTATAGACCTGGTTAGACCATCCAGTTGGTCAGTCCATGCTGGCTGCCCATGTTAGAAACAGCTGCAGCTGGAACAGCGTTCAACGGGCCGCAGGGGC